TCAATTTCTCATTCTTCAATTACTCACGTTCAACTGAAAGGTCGAGGCTCGTAGAAGATAGAACTTATCGGTCACGTGGCGGTGGTTGGGCATCGGCCAGGGCTCGCCGTGAGTGGGTTGGACCCAGGGGCCAACGTCCGGGTTCAACGAGTCAGCCCTATGGCCGAGAACGATCAACAGACACGGAAACAGCCATCCGACTCCCATGTCGATCGATGCTTTTTTTGAGGAACAGGTGTCGGACGGTGGAGGGAACGATGCGACGCCAACGAGTGATGATCGTCTACTGAACGCAGAGAACGACGCGTACGGTAACGAAAGTGGTAACGACCTTACACCGCGCCACTTAACTTTCATCGCTTCGCCTGGTGACGTGCTCACGGTCAAGTGGGAACAACCAGTCCACGGTTCGACCGCGTCCTTAAACGAACTTCTTTCCCGTGTGGACGAGACAGCCTCTCGCGGTCCACGCTCTCTTCAATCGAGTTAATGGAACGTTGACATCACGAACGTTGGAATTTTTATGGGTGGAAGAGGATGGTGGAGCAACGAGATTTATGTAGATTTTTCTTCTTCTTTTTCTTCCTCTTTTTCTTCTTCTTTTGTTGCGGAGGACGATCTATTTTATTTTTCGTTCGAAAGAGTTTTAAGAGTTTTAAGTTTAAGAAATTGAAGAGGAGGTTAAAAGTCTGTGACTCGTAGTAGAACTTGTATACGGGGGGGGACCTACTCTTCCTCGGAAGATGGTTATGGATAATCTTGTTAACGAAATGAGAGGAAACCTCATACTTGCGACATTCCACTTTTAACGGGATGCGACAAATTCGAACAATTTCTTAATTGTACACCGTGAGAGGGTACGTGTTATTCCTAAATCGGACACCGTGAAATATCGGATTGATGGTTGGATTGAAGACAGATATCTTACTATAATTGTGTAATAACTTAACGCAAAATATAGATAACGAGATCGAACGACGGCTCGTTTAATCGATATAACGAAGATATATAGAACGAAGATATTAAGGAGATATATATTGCTCGTTTATCGCCGTAAGAATAACACGATCCAAGTTTGGCAAAGAATTGTCATTACTTGCCGCGATAGAATTTCAATCCAAGCGATCTTGGATTCTTAATGTCTAATCTTCTTGCACGTTGTTACGAAACACTTGGAAACTCAATTTCCCCTGCAAAATCATAATACTTGTATCGGTTGTCTTTCAATCCAACGAGCAGCCTTAAATCCCTGATATTTAAGAATATCGAAATTAATTAAATTAAAATTAAAATTACGAGATAATAAAAATGCACTTCGAGATAAAAGATATTCAAATACGTTTCCGTTAGAAATTAATCCCATCCGAATGGGAAGACGTAATTTATGTCTAAATTAATTGGTGAATGAAGTTCACCGAAGCGCGATGCGTTATCTTTGGCCAATGTAGAGGCGGCGAGGCATCGAAGTGCAAAGGTCGATGATCGAGAGTTCGCGATAACGGAAACGCCGATAGATCATAGCGATTACTAGTCGAATGACACGTGATTTTCTTTCTTTCTTTCTTTCTTTCTTTCTTTTCTTTTCTTTTTTTTTTTTTCATCTATCTCTTGAACGCGTAAACAAAATTTCTATGTTATTCTACTCGCCAAGCTTCCTCCCTCCCGAGACGAATCTCAATCCGAACTAGGAGGAGGAAACTTTAATTTCACCGGTGACATCGGATCATCCGCATAATATGAAAAAAACGTATCAATGGACAATGGATTCTCTCTGGTTTCTCTTTCTATATTCCACGTAAGCAGCCCCCTCTTGAGTCATCGAGCAAACACGAGTTCGAAGGAGGAAAACGCGAGATTCGAAGGTGGGTCCATCCATCCTTGGCGGAGATTAGGACGGAATGAAAAACGTGGAGAAGGTCCGTGTTGGTCAAAGAAGCCGGTGGCCCGATCGTAAAACGCGAGCATGCGCGTTTCTCCGTCGTGGCAACGATCCCTTAACTTTTCTCCACGAACACGCGCGTCTTTTCGCTCTAAATTCTTCGACCGAGAAACGGTCACGATTTCCCAATTCTGCGTGGGATCGATACGAAACTCGCAACAACGTGGAAGGGGCGAGGGAAGAGAGAGAAAGAGAAAGAGTGAGAGAGAAGCATAGGAGTCGAGAATTATATATTCGTTCGATCTCGAATGAACGCTTTACGATTCGTTTTTCCTACGTTCTCTTTCTCAATTGTAATCTCGCGAGAGAAACAAGTTTGAACGCACGATTCTTCTCTTCTTCTCGTCGAGGTGTTTGCGAGGTGATTATTATTATTTTTTTTTTTTTTTACGAGATTAGGGGAAATCAATGGTATTTCCGTATTCCGTATTTATACGAAAATGGGAACGTAAGAGAGAAGAGTGTGATACGGCACTGGTCGGTGAATCGTAGCTTCATTGATTGCAATGTCGTACGCCGGGTCGGCGGACGCTAGAGGGGTGAGACGAGGGACTGCGAAGTGGAACGTGCATCCAGGAACGTGTCACGAATCTTGGGCGCCACCTCGACACGTTTCCATCGAAAATTTTCGGCATCTCGAGAGAGATTTTTTACATTTTTATTTATCGAAAATTATCCTTCGATATTCGAAAACATTTCTGCAACGCTAATCTCGATTTATATACTTATATTCGAGTTTTCTGTTTCTCGTATTCCGTGTGATTTTCCATATTTTCCCGCTTGAAGATGAAAAATGAAAGAAAATGGCTACGAAATGGGAAAAAAATACGTAATGAAACGAAAATCGATACTCGTTCTTGGATAGGGGAGCCCTCAACTATCGGCCGCTACTCTCGATCCGGTGCTGCGTTTGTCAGCCTTTGACTCTTCATTCACGAACCATTGACAATCGCAACGAAACGAATTCCGTGCCGGTTCTCATCGTTTCTTTCTTTCTTCCTCCCTTTTTTCTTTTTTTTAATTTTTTTCCCCTCACCCACGAAGGGAAAAAAGAACAAACTCCAGATCGATCAACAGTAGATAAATCTGCCCCCGTGAATTTTTCATTTCGCGCATTTCCTCGAACCATTTCGAATCGAATTCCTACACTCGTACATCCGGCGACAAATTTCAAGCTTCTTTAAGAAAGGAAGAGAGAAAAGAAAAAAAAGAAGAGAGGAAGAAAAATCGTTTGAATCGAAAGAGAGAGAAAGAAGAAGAGTGATCATCCCTGGATGAAATTCCACATGGGGACAAAGTTTTCCCATTACAGGCCGCTCCCCTTCTATCCACGGGAAGAGCGGATAGGCAAACAAAAGCGTTTGGAAAAGCGGTGGTCGAAAAATCATCCGAATCGACGCTGCGTGGATCCGTGCGCGCGCTCTACGTCACCGATCTGCGCCGGAGGGGAGAGGGATTGGCCGGGCGGTGGGGGGAGCGTGGTAGGGGTGGCGCGTGCGGGGTGGGGGTTGAGCGCGAGGAATCGAGCGAGGACGACGCGACGCGTGATGCTCGTGCTCGCGGTAGTAGTAGTCCGTCGTAACGACGTCGATGACGTCGACGCCGAGGGCGCTGCCGACGCGGTCCACTTAATCGGTGGTAGTAGTAGTAGAGCCGGTGGTAGAGGTGGTGGGAATCGTAGTGGCGTGCGTACACGAGGCCGGCGCGCTCGTGTGGCACGGGAGTAGACGGAGAGAGAGAGAGAGCTCGACGTCGCTCTCGAGCCGCTTGCCCTGGAGAGACGAGTGGAAGGAGAAAGAGAGAGAGAGAGAGGGAGAGAGCGAGAGAGAGACGGAGCGAATACTACGAGTGAGAGGTAGAGGAAGGTGGAAAGGGGACGGATAGAAGGAGAGAAGGAAAGAGGAACGAGGCAGCCGGCGAGACGACGGCTGAAGCGAAAGGGTGGTTCGCTCGCGGTTACAGTTTAGTCCCGGTGAGTGCGTGGTGTTGCGGCGTGGCGTCGACTCCACCGCTCGAGACTCGTACTGCACGCAGAGGGAGAGAAACTCTCGCTCGAACGGGAAGAGAAAGAATTGCCGGTTTCGCAGCGTCCATCGAGCTCGCGCGTGTAGTACTCTCGCGCGCGGCGGCCACGCTCCCTCTCGCGTTTCGTAGAGGGGTGTGTGCTTGAGTGCCAATCGGTGGTGGTGGTGGTGGTGGTGTGTGAGCGCGCGCGCGCGCGCTCGTGTGTGTATACGTGCGCGCGGAGGGAAAGACGAGAGAGGCGAGGCGAGACGAGGGCGAGCCCGAGGGCGAAAGGGAAAGAGGGTATAATACGTAGGTGTGCGCGCGAGGTGGTGGCTAGATCGGTGGCGGTAGCGAGTGGAGAGAGAGAAGTGGTGCACGGAAGTGGTGTGGCGGTGTCGAGTCGTGGTGGATGGTGGATAGTGGCGGTTCGGGCGGTAGGTCGGTTCGGTCGGTTGTTGATCGTCGTCGTCGTCGTCGCCGCCGTCGTCGTCGTGGTCGTCGTCGTCGTCGTCGTGGTGCTCGGTGACGAGAAGGAGAAGAAGGGAACGAGAAGAAGACAGATAGAACGATAGAGAAGGAGGAGGAGGAGGAGGAGGAGGAGCGATATAGAGAGAGAGAGAGAGGTGCGGAGGCGAGATACGATCAGGAGCGGACCGGAGAGAAGAGACGCGAGGATGAGATCGATAAGGAGGGAGTGGACGAGGTGGTGCGGGTTTCGCGAAACGGGAACGCCGCGGCGCGTGTAGACGCACGGGGTGGTAAACAGACGCGCGTAAAATACGCACGCACGCGCCCCGACCGGCCTGCTCGCCCGTGTCGGCAGAGAGAAGGGAGAGAGAGAGAGTCGTCGCGGAAAAGTTGTCGGTTCTCTCCGTTGGCCGGACACCGGGACGCGACGAGCGCAGGGGGCACACCGCCACGGTTGAGATCGTCTCGTATCGGTGGAGGAGCCGCGAGACGGAGAGCGAGGGAGAGAGAAAGAGAGAGAGATCGGAAGAGGCAAGAGGCGGAGGAGGAAGAGGGAAGAAGACAAAGGAGGCTACTCGCCGGAGCACGGATTCGTCGCGGAGACGGGATCGTCCTCCTCCTCCTCCCTTTCTCTCTCCCCCTCGATCTCTATCCATCTCCACTCGATGGGGTTCGCTGAAAGAAGGTCAAAGATCGATCGTGGAGTACGAGGGTCGTGACCTCACGCATACACGGGACGAGCCACGCGTGCGGCACGGCTCTTCCAGCGGGAAGGTGGAGGAACCTTGGCTGGAAGAAACGGAAACGGAGGGAGGAGAGAAAGAGAGAGAGAGAGAGGGAGAGAGAGGGAAGGAGAGAGAGAGAGAGAGAGAGAGAGAACCGGTTAAGGTGGATCTCGTGGAAGAACCGATGAAACTGATCGATCTCCGGACCCCTGGTCGATCGTTGCGTTAGGCGTTGTCGTCAATGCTCGCCACTCGTCGACCAACGTTTCCGCGTAGAGTAGAAGAGGAATCGTCGTACCGCGTCGGGACCACGTCGCGTCGAAGATCGGTGGATCTATGCTCGATTGGACGGACACCGTGGTGGCATAGAAGAAAAATCGCGACGGATCTAGGAGGAGGATCGCACGTGCCTCCGGTGTCGAAAACGAGAGACATGCTGGTCGCTGGTTCGCGAGAAGCGACGTTACATCAACAACGTGAATCGCGTAGGACAGAAGAATCGTAGAGAGAGAGAGAGAGAGAGAGAGAGATAGTCGCGCGAAAGAAAAAAGAAAAAGCGAGAACGATCCGTGCGATTTAGCGAGTCACGTACACACACACACACGCGCGCGCGCGCGCGAATCATCATCGGAGGAAGAGGGAAGAAAGAGTGAAAATCAGTTGGGTCGGGGTATAAAATCGGGGATCGGGTGGAAAGAATGTCGCGAGATCCGTACTCGAGCGGAAGCGGAGTGGTCGGGCCAGGAGGCGGTACTCGTTCGCCTCGAAGCGGTCGTCGCGTGGGCGAGCTACCCACGGTCGACCGTAGCCCGTCGAGGAGCTACGCGAGCGGTCGCGGCAGTCCTTTGGGTCGGAAGAGAGGCACTCGTAGCGGGAACAACTCGCCGGAGCACCTCGGATACGGGAGCTACCATCACCATCAGCTGGGCAGTCCGTACTACTCCCGCGACGAGGACCTCGCCAGTCCCGTGATGCTCGAGGAGAGGGGCAGGAGTATGTCAACCGGGGGCGGTGGGGGCGGACATCACAGATCCAGAAGCGCCTCGAGACCCGCCATGTCCAGCTCGGCGGGCATGTCGGCGAGGTACACCAGCCTCGATCGTGCATCCGCGGGTATCCTCGATCACGATCGCGAGTTCGTGCCGATACGCGATCCCCGTGAACGTAGCCGCGACCGTGGACTCTACCTGGAGGATGAGATTTACGGGTCGAGATCGGCCAGACAGAGCCCGAATCCGCACATGCTGCGCGACAGCGGTGGCTATATCGGTGAACTCCAACATCAGAACAACGATCTCCAACGAGAGCTCGGGAACCTCAAGAAGGAGCTCGAGCTGACGAACCAAAAGCTCGGCAGCTCGATGCACAGCATCAAGACCTTCTGGAGTCCCGAGCTCAAGAAGGAGAGAGCATTGAGAAAAGAGGAGAGTTCCAAGTACAGCCTGATCAACGAACAGCTGAAGCTGCTCAGCTCCGAGAATCAGGTCAGTCGACTGCGGATTTTTCTTTTCTCGCTTCTTAACCGCCATACCTTCCTTCCTTCTTCCCTTTCGTCGCGATCGCGCGAATAAAATCGCCCTTGTAACGAACCTTTTTGCGCCAACTTTTCCCTGATTCGAACGACGTTCGCCGCGCTCCATATCCGTGACCCGTTTTCCTTCCGCCACGCGAGTGCGATTTAGGTCGAACCGATTATAATAACGATCAACGACGTTAATAATTTCGATCGATCTTCGCGCGCCACCAAATTTTCCTCCAAATTTTCCCCTAAATTTTCCCCCCTTTTCTCTCAAATTCCTCGAAATCGAATCGCCCATCGAACCACTCTCGATCCCCATCGATCCCAATTTCCACAACCCGAACACGTTTTTAGAAAACTTATCGATCCGCTTACTTTCTTAATTTCTTTTTTTTCTTTTTCTTTTCTTTTCCACGCTTCGAAATAGACGCGCTTATCGATTGGCTAAAAATGCAACGCGAAGGGGGAGCCACCGATGTAACAATTCACCCGATATTTTCAACGCGAAATTGTTCGATGATCAACCCCCCCTCCCCTCTCTCCCTCTGTAACGTTCAAACGCGTATCAAACGACGATCGTGTAAACGCGTGAATCTCTCGGGACCGATCAACGGTCACGTTGATTAACGATGGGGATCGATGACAATTGGCAATCGCGAATCCCTCGAATTCTTCTCGAGTCTCAATTCCAAATTCTTTCGCTCGCCTCCTTTCCGAGCGAGACGTGTACGCATTACCTTCGAGGACGACGGATGGATCAATATGTTAGCTGTTCGCGAAGCCCGTCGCATATTTATATAATATCGTGGTACCGAAGTATCACGAATAGACGCCGCTCCCGTCCGCGAAACCCGATGTTTTTCCTCGAAATTCCAGCTTCTTATACCGGGAGGGAAATCGTTTATCGAACGGCTCTCCGGTTGTTACGTCTCTCGCGAAGACGTCACACGTTCTCGTTCGATTACGAGCGAGCGTCACGTGAGCACGGCTTTAATCGAGCCGTTTAATTCTTGGTCGTTGCGCCTGGTTGGTTGTCGGTCGTTGGGGAAGAGTAATACGTAATACGAGACTCGTGGGAGTATAAATTTTTTATAAAGAGCGAGCACTCGAAAACACCCGTTTCGATCTCTCGCGACTCGAGACGGGGGAATAGTTTAAAATTTTCAGGTGGGGTCGATCGAGTTTCCAATTTTTCCTCTCTCGAACACGGAATTTTATACATTTTCTCCCTCTCCTATTATTTTTATTTTTAGTATGTTTACAGCCTGTCACTCGATTATCGTCATGGCAGCGGAATGCACACTCGCCTATATATATATATATTTTTACGAACTCTCCAAATAGAAAGGCGAAATAAAAGAATAGAAAGAAGAAGAGAATACATCTCGTCCCAATAAAGACTCTTGCTCGCCAACCTACTTTTCCTCCGTCCGTTCGAGGCAATCGTCGATCCTTCGCGTCCGTCACGGTTCGTCAGCGTGGCGACCGGAGGCATATTTTTGGCCTCGCGATGCACATGAGTCATCCGGAGTGAACGGTGGAGAGGCTGAGAGATTCTCTGGCCGACTGCCCACGTTTATTCCTTTTTATCCAGCGTCTGGCATCGCGATAGTGGACGCGCGATTCTCGTGTGTGTGTGTGTGTGTGTGTGTGTTGACGCGTCGCTCCCCATTGTGTCCCATCCATGGAACGATGGAAACGACGATCGAAGTTGCGTAATTTCGGGCACACCCTGGGGCCACACGATCGAGCAAGCTCGCTCGACTTCGTCGATTCCATGTGGAAAAGTGATGAAATCGACGAGTCGATGGATGATTAAGATTAAGCCGAGAATTTTACGGAAATATTTTATAGTCTCGATTCTCTTTAATTCCGCGAGTTGAGGAATTTGACAGGTCGAAACGAAATAATAGAAGTTTGAGATTGGTATAAAGAAGAAGTTTCTGTAGAGAGGGTTTATATACGCGAAGAGATATGTCGTTGGTCGTGTATTATTAGCATATTATAAAGTCAATTTGTACGAATTTGGAATAGGAGATTTCCATTATTTCTGATTTTATTATAATCCGATTCCCGTTCAAAGTTAATTATCTAAAAGATAAAATTTGAAAATTTGAAAATTTCTCCACCAAACTTCCCACCCAGTTTTGAAACGAGTATCGATCCATTGATATTTCATTCCCCTGATGCAATTAACATCGGAAACTTTGGCTCAAAAAGTGTAAAAAAAAAAAAAAACGCATTAAAAAGGGTGGAAAGTAGTTTAAGTAGGTTGGAAAGGGGGGAATTAATTTTCCTTTTCTGTCGGATACGCGTACTGTCGACTCGCGCCATACCAGCGAAATTGGCGTACACCAGGAAGTGGGCCGTAAAAAAAATGGCGTGGAACTTTTGCAATGCTATCGCTCCGCCAACCGATCCTCTCTCTCTCTCTCTCTCTCTTTCTCTCGCGAACCGCCAAAAACCCAGAGAACCGCGGAAATTAAACTCGCGTCACGTTAACGAACGAATTTTTTTCTTTTCTCTCTCTCCCTCCTTCTCTCTCCCCCCCCCTTCATCCCCTATTTTTACCAAAGAAATAAAAGAGCGATACGCGGTTCGTTCGATTCGTCAATAATTTTAACTTCTCCATTCCGTGCCCTCGATCCTCTTCCACACTCTCCCTTCCTCCCCCCGTGTCACGGATCGTCGATCAATTCCGATGGTGGTGTACCAATCGTCGATTCGGGACGACGTTTGAAATATTAAAAAACGAATCCGTGCCCGGCCGATACGTGCGCATCCGAGGAATGCATCAATGCAATGGTTGAAGGTTGATCCGTGACGTTAGCGGGATTCGTGGTATTAAAAATTCCGTTTGCCACGCCGTTTTCTGCGTTTGTCGCGGCGAATAGCGAGGGAAGGAGGGAGGAGGAGGAGGAGGAGGAGGAATCCTCGGATCTAATTGCTCACTTGACACGGTTCCCGGTGAATGAAAAATTAGTTGCTGATGGCCACGAGAGAACCGTGTCGCTTGAAAGCTCAACGGAGAGATGAAAGAAAACGGTGGTTGAATCGACCGGTCGAATATCATTTCGACATTGCTTAACGAGTGTACACACGAGGCATACGGTTACAACCAATACCGAAACGATCGGTCGTTGCTTTCCTTGTGAAATGTTCGATTATTCCGCGAGTGGAAACTCGATTTCAGATTACACGCGTTTATTCCTTATATTCCATTACTCGATCGAGCGAGTTATTAATCGGCCAGATGTCCAGATGTTTGATATCGTCCACGCTTAAGAATTCGATCAGCATCAGTTCTCCCTTTTAATCTCGGCAGGGGTTTCTCAACTTTTTCTACAACTTTTTCCAAGATAAAACTTTAGAGAGAACCCGTTAACAGAGAATTTCCATCCATTCGTATATTCGATACGGGAATATATCTAATAAAAGGAATTTAATTATCCCCTTATAGTTAGGAGGCACGAAACTAATTGATTCCGACACGAAAGGAGGGAAATAAACCACGTACCACCGGTTGACCATGGGCTTCTGTTCATAATTTAATGTCGCTCAAGTGGCCTCTCTAATGGTCGCCGTTCTCCCTTGCATACCGCCGCTTCAATTCATCTCGGACGCAGCTGTCGCGTCTCAGCGCCGTGTCTACCGGAAAGGGAACCCTACGATCGAATCGTAGTTTTCTCTTTAAGCCGAGCGATCCAAGTTTTTCGAACTTTCTCCGAAGATTTTTTGAAAAATTCCTATATTCTATTACTAATTCTGAAACTCTGGACGGAATCCAGAGAGAGAGAGAGAGAGAGAGAGAGAAACAACGTGTTCCCACGATCTGGTTGATTCGACTTGTTGTCGCGACTTGACTTTCGTCGCTCACCCTAAAAATTCTTTTCAATTCTTAACACGAACGGAAGGAGGAACGCTCCTCTTCTTGTTTTCCCTCTCTTTCTCTTTTTCCCCTCCCCTTCCTACTCGGCGCAGACGCGAAGGCATCCGGTTTTCTAGCTGACACGTTCAATCGCAACACACATTAGGATGTAAAACGGAATCGTCGTGAGTCCTGTTTCGAGAAAAATGGATTCCGAATGTCCTCGTTAGCTTCCCTTTTACGAGCATACCCATCTGTCCTCGCCGCTTTCGAATTGAATACCGGAGGGATTTAAGTGGCGTTTGCCGGGTAAAACGCGATATACAATATCGTCTGGAAATGGAGATTCGTTCCGTGGAACATTATCATACTTACCGGAATCGTTCTTGTCCTTTTTCCTATGCTAATTCCACCTCTCGCGTAATCTTCCCGATTATATTATATATTTTCTTCGTATCCCTCGTCCTATTTCTTTATCTGTCTCTTCAATATTTATTGAATCGATCGTTTCCGAGAATCGTGCAAAGAAAATTATTACACCAATATTTCAATAATTCGACGATGTCGATAAACGGTACGAGGGAGGGAAAAAGAAAGAAGAAGAAGAAGGAGAACAAGTAACGAAGATTGGCGTCAGGTTGGAAAAAAATATTATCGAATATCGTAAAAATTATTCGACGGAACAGATATTGCCCGTTGGAATACAGTTCCCCTTTCCTCGGAATCGATAACCCAGAAACCCAAATTATTTTTGCGCTAAGTCTGAATTAGGCGGCCCGACACTGTCATTGTGCCATTTTTACGCCAATCTTTCTTTCTTCTCTTCCTTCCCTCGTCCAAACTTGAACGATCCCTTTGAAACCTGCTTACCACCCCCATTTCTAATTCCTCGATCGATCCCTCCCTCCAAATTCCACTCAAAATCCTCTCAATTTCCGGAAAAACTCGAAACCGGACAAACTCGAGAAATTACGATATCCCTCCTAATTACGAAGAATCGTAAGAAAGATAGAAGTGTGTATGCGTATGTGTATGTGTGTGCGTGTAGAAAGGGAGTACGTTCGAAGGGGCGGCATTGCAAGTTTCTCCACAGACGA